CATGTTGGGTAACTGTACTTCTGGCGACTGTAGTTTGAAATACTATTTTTTTGCATGTTCGATCAATCTCCGATTGTAAAAGTTGGTAAAAATATTCTATCTCCTCTTCCTTGGCTCTGGTTGTTGGTGCATATATTTGAATGATAGTGGTATTCACTGGACTTCCTTGTATGCCACTCCATTAGGGCTGCATTATTGTAGCTACTGCCACTGTTGTGGGAGTGTCTTTAACAGAATTTAAATATACTGCTCAGTGGTAGCGCATGTAATGGCTACTATGACTCAAGCCAGGATTAAACAAACTAATATTGATAAAGGAATTCTACACTGCTTACAGACTTCAGAGACTGCTACTGTGTGGTTTGGAACAACAGGCTTTGATAACATGAAGCTGTTTGAAATGTGATTGGCAACATGTACCTATGTGTTACTCCTCTTTATAACAGTTCTCAATATAATAGGAATATTACTAAATAATAATGTAATAGGGATATTAGGAATTATAGGAATAACAATTACAGGAATAATGTAATAGGAATATTAGTATGTAATAATAATAGTTCTTAATAGAAGAAATGGGGGAAAAAACAAAACCCTAAACTTAGATGGAACATACTGCTGTTTTCTCAGAGCTGATTGACAGCTGTTCCTGCAGCAGGTTTTCAGAGGCTGTCATTTGCTTGTCCACCTTTCTTTGGAGCCTCCAGTTAAGCAGGGAGTTAGAAGTCTTGTGAGTCTTGAAGGCCATATAAAAGGACCCTCTGGTGACCTAGTGGCAAGAAGCTGCGCTACAATCCTGAAGGTGTGTGACTCGAATCCACCAGATGCTTCACTGGAGAAGGCGGGGCAATCTTCTCCTGTGCCAGTTGATCTGATTTGATGGCATACAAGTGAAATAAATAAATAAATAGTTGCTCATCTTAAAATTTTATTGCTATATACTTTTATAAGGGTGGCTGTTTTAATAACATTCTAGCAGTGGAAACATTCCTGCTCTTTGTCATTATGTTGACAGTGACATTCAGGAATAGTTGCTATTAAAGGATGTTCTGCTAGATCTTGGCAAAAAAAAGGCCATAATTTATAGTGTATGATACTTGTTATTTTAGACTTGAGTGAATTTAGATGTGATTTTACTTTTACTTTATTCTTCTGCAAGATCTTGTTGCCTGCTCCAAAGATCTTGTACTATTTCTTTATAAATTTTACAGTCAGTTATTTTTTGGATTTTAAATTACAAACTTGTAAAACATCGTTAAACATTTTTTTGTCTGAACTTTGTATCAGTCAGGGTTCTTGGTTGTAAACAAAGGAACTGAGATTGGTTAAGGAATAATTAGGGGCCTAAATCTCTGTAGAAACTTTATTCCTTTCATAGAAAATAAGGGGAGAATGCATCTTGCCAACCACACTTGTTGACAAGCTCAGCTGAAAACCTGCCGCTCTCTTTGCTCAAATACCCCCTGAGCTGCTTTAACCGCTTCACTTCCCACATTCCCAGCAGTGATCCACAGTGTCACACGTGTGGCTCCTGAGCCACCTCTTCCAGGGCCACAGCCCATAGTGTTTCCTGTTCTGGTTAGTATTCTGCATCAGGTAGAACATTGTGGGTCTTTACCTGGTTAGTTTTGTCAGCCATGTTTGAATTGCTTGAACCCATGGTGCTACTTCTTTAAAGATTCAAAGCAGATGCCAAAACAACAGCAGAGACCTGCACAGCTGTTGGGCTGTACCTGACCTAGGACTTCATTGACTTCGGTGGGTTTCTTGGGTGGGGAAGAGGGAAGCAAACTGCCCCTCATTCTCCCACTAAGTGGCAGGTGCATTCAAACTGTTGATCTTTCTCTTAGCAGCCCAGCACTTAACCTACTGCATTGCTGTGGTTCTTTAAAGTAAGTAACTCTAAATTATAAGTTGTGCTCTAACTACCATAGGAAGGTGTGTTCTCCCTAGTTTGCAATTATCTTCAAAGCGGACAGGATTTCAAAGGATCAAAAGAGCACAAATCCTTTACACTTAAAAAAATAATATAAGTTCAAAATCTAAACTTCAGTGAGATAGAATTTTAGACTTATTAATAGGAACCTTTAAGAAATAAAGTCCGCGGGGAGAAGGGTGCAACAATGAATGAATGGAATTCCAAAATCTCTGTAGATATTCTTTGAAATGAAAAATAAACTAAATTAATAAAAAAAAGAGAATTATCAATAAATATATTCCTTTTTTTAACAAAAAAAGAAAGAAAGTCCATGTTTTACAAGTGAAAACCGAAGAGGTCATGTGTGAATTGTCTTTATTTCGCACAGAGGCCTACAGGCAGAAGCCAAACTAAGGTCACCTGGGTTTCTCTAAACCATTTCCAGTGTAACTCTGGTTTTTTAAAGTTTAAAAACAGTATATTACTGTAGTCTTTTAGGCATTAGCTCTGTAGAGAGGTCGCTGCTAACCAAAGGCCAAGCTTTTCTTGGTGGTTTGAATTCATCTGCAGCTTGGTCAGAGAAAGATGGACAGTTTCCTCCTGTGCAACTTACAGCTCAAAACCTAAAGATGGAGCCTGTGTAAGGTAGAAACCTGTCAGAGAGAAAAAGACTTATTTTCCATTAGAAGGAGCAGTAGAAAATAGCGAGACTGGACCCTGTCAAACCTTTGAGACCCAGAAAAATAGTCTGTGCTGTGAAGTTCAACTCTCACAGGTCTCTCTGTGAATGGAAAGGAGCTGAGAATGTTACTGTTGTCATGATGACACTGTTCTCCAGATTAATATATATTTAACAGAGTTCTCAAAATCCCAGGCGATTCTTTTCTGTAGACATTGATGACAGATTAAAATTTGGATTGAAGAGGACCCAGGATAAAGAAAACAAAAGTTAGAAGGTTAATAATACCCAAATTTAAGACTTAAACAGTGTTTTCTGGATAGTGGTTCCTTATCAGATGTAAGTTTGTCAATACTTTCTTTCTGTACATGAGCCATCTTGCTAAACTTCTTGCTCATGTTTTTTAAAATGGTTAAAATGGTTTTTAGTACCCAGACTAAAACAGTACGCGAGACAATACAGCATTGGTGTGAGGATAGAGTGGAACATGCTTGCAAGCCTAGAAATAAAATCTTATATTTATTGACTGAATGTAACAGCTAAAATTATAAAACTCTTAGAACAAAAGACAGATACAATTTTTATTTTTTTTTTTTAAATCCCTCTGTGAAAAAAATGATGAACCCTGGAATCTGAACAGTGTGAAAAAGAGATGGGAATGACTGGCCGCCCCCAGATTGTCCAGTGTCCGCATGCCAAGAAAAATACTGAAGGGGATGTTAAGGGAAATAGAGCCAAGGTGAAGGGTGAGCCACAGAGAGGTCTGTAAGGTTAACAGCTAAACCTCCAAAACCAGAGCCCAATCCTAACAAGGCCCCTTCAAGAAGGGAGAGAAGGGACCCACAGGGTAAAGGAGCAGGCTGATGCTGACAAGGATGGGAGTAACCCTGAAGAAAATGGAGATGCCAAACAGGCCAGGTATGGAAAGCTACGGGTGCTGAAGGTGCCAAGGGAAGTGTGTGCATGTTGGGTAACTGTACTTCTGGCGACTGTAGTTTGAAATACTATTTTTTATCAAGTTTTATTTA